TGAGATATTAGGGATATTGCTGACCTCATAGTATTTAAGCTCGAGTAAGAGGAAATATTAGTTAATTCCTGAGAAAGAAAATCCAGTGCTTGAGACACAGTTGGAGAATGGAAGGATATGCGACTGTGCTGACAAAACCTCCACCAAGACCGGAGAGGTTTTGAGTATTGCTTGATAGTTGCTGTTGACAAGGAGGCTAATAGTGCTGGTATTGCTGATGATGGAATTAAACGGGCCTCAAAAGCTCTCCTGATAACTTCCCGACCCCCAGGGAAAGGGTCTTCCAGGCTGGGTGACGTTCTCTGAAAGGAGACGAGAGGAGAGAATGACTGGGAGACAATATAATCGGTTCTGATAAGAGAAGACGACGAAACAGTGGGAACCAGGCCTGGGAGGGCCACCAGGGCACCACCAGAATGCCCACTGCTCCGTCGTCCACTATTTTCCTCAATACTCGTGGTAATAAGATGAAAGGTGGAAATGCGTAAAAATATATGTCCCTCCAGGACAAGGTGAACGCATCTATTGCGATAGATCCTGGATCCGGAAACCAAGAAACATATAAGTCGCATTTCTTATTGATTAAAGATGCGAACAAGTCTATCTCAAACGGCCCGAAAAGTTTTGTTATACGACAAAACGCCTCGTCCGACAGTGACCACTCAGTGTCTGGGTCCGCAATACGAGATTCAGTATCGGCAATTAAATTCTCTACCGAGGAAATATAAGAGGCAAAAATGAAAATATCTCTATCCTCACACCAACGCCAAATTTGTCTCGAGATTGCAGTGAGATGGGGGTATCGTATCGATCCGAATTTGTTGATGTATGCTATAGCAGTAGTGTTATCGATACGGAGTAGAATGTCGCAATTATGAAGGTCCGCTGCAAAGCAGCGGAGGGCATTGAAGGCCGCCTTAAGCTCTAATAAATTTATATGAAGAATTTTGTCATTAGTCGACCACCAACCATGTGTGCGTAGGTCTCCGCAAGAAGCGCCCCAACCGTTCAAAGAGGCATCCGAGAAAATTTCGCGAACAAATTTACCAGATCGAATCTTATTAGTCTGATTAGGATTCGAAAATATTTTAAGCCACCATGTTAAGTCTGCTTGGAGGTTAGGAGGAATCGTCATAGTTGCTGAATAATCTTCATTAGAATTACTCAAAGCTAAGACCTTTTCCCTCTCAAAGTTCTTCGTGTAGAGTAGACCATATTGAACTGCTGGACATACAGAGATGAGTGAGCCAATGAAGCTGGCAAACTCTCTTATAGAACATTTCTCTTTGCGAATTATATTCCTAGTTAACTGTAATAATTTATTCCGGCGTTGGTATGGGATAGAAATAGATTGTTCTACTGAGTTGAAAATAAAACCTAGGTATTTGCATGTAATTGACGGATGTAAACTAGATTTAGAAAAATTAATTATGAATCCCAGAGACTGAAGAAAATTAACAGAAGTAGTAACGTTAGCTTGGCATTCCTCGAAAGATGAGCCCAACAGGAGAAAGTCATCCAGATAAATAATGGATTGAAAACCTCTTCCGCTAAGGTAAGTAACTATCGGTCTCATGATCTTTGTAAAAATAAAAGGAGCCGTACAGAGACCAAAAGGCAAGGCTGTGAATTGGTAAGTCTTGTTACGCCATTGGAATCGAAGGAATTTCTTATGTTGCTCGAAAATTAGAACCAGAAAATAAGCTTCCTCGAGGTCGAGAGAAGTCATATAGGTTCCAGGCAACATAAGACGGATAACCATCCGCCAATCTTCTAGTTTGAAGTGTGGCGGATGGACATATTTATTTAGTTTCCGTAGGTTTAAGATAAAGCGTTTACCACCCGAAGATTTATCTACAAAAAAGAATGGCGATAAGAATTGATCTTTACATGGATCTACTGCCTCAATAGCTCCTTTGAGCTGCAAACGTTCTACTTCTGTATCACAATAAAGAGAAGTGGACTCTGAGAATTTCGGCTCCCTCAAAAAAGCTCTCACTGGAGGCCCAGAAACAAAGGGGATGTGATAACCCTGAATTGCATCTAATACCATAGTATCAGTTGTAATCTCTAGCCATTGCTCGAGAAATTCGTTTAGGCGACCAGCGGTTCTTACATTGCTCAGTGATTGCGCCGAAATCGGGACCGAGACTGGGAGCGGGGGCGGCTCTTGCGCTGAGAAGCTCCTGCCTGGCGAGCCGACACTAGTCGAACAGGAGCTCTTCGGTTTCCCGACTGTGGATTGGACTTGTAGGATGGATTAGACTGTGAGGCTGTCTGCTGACGGACGGGTTGTAAGGTCCTTTTCCCTATTGTGCTGTCCTTTTCCCTATTGTCCTTTTCCCTATTGGTGCTGTTAACCTTGATAATTCACGGCCAGTCCTTTCGCAAGCCTGTGCTGCCTTAAGGGTTTCCGCGAAATTCTGTCCAAATAAAAAATCGTCAATCGGAGCCATCTCTGCTGCATTCTTACCGAGGATGTTCAAGGAAGGCTTAGTGAAGGCTCTTCTGGTCAGTGAAAGGCGATACTGGAGGTCGGAGAGTAAGTGAATCCCTTCTGCGAAGAACTTCAGAACCGACTTTGCTTCGTCGTCTAAGCTTTGCAAAACAGTCGGTTTTAATAAAACAGATATGCCCGAGCCAAAAGCATTAAGACAGGCACACAGTTGTGTTTGCAAGAGCAACTGATACTCATCCCTCTTAATAATGGAGGGAGTTAGAGCAGGAACGAGTTCCTTATTAAGCTTTGGTGGCGCTAGCGTCGCAAGATCTCCCTTTATTTCGTACCTAGACAATAAGCTAGAACGAACGTCGGCATTTAGCCCACTTCTGGACTCCGTCTGGATGGAATTTAGAACGGTAGCATTCCAGATGGGAGATGTGGAAGGTGGTTCAGCACTCCCAAACAAATCGCTGACCATCGCCTCTGGTACAGAGCCAGGATCCTGAAGATTCTGAACCTCATGAGTAAGCGGGTCGGCAAAGAACACACTACTAGCAGGCTGAAGGTCATCGTTTTCGATCTCAACATCTGGTAGTGAAGCTAGAAGAAGTTAAAGCAGAAGAACACGTCGGTTATGTCCTCTCTTTGCCAGGAATAAGCCAATCAACTGGGTCGACAAGAGGACATACCTGGTACAGAGCCCCGGTCCGCCTGTGCGACCGTCTGTTCTTCAGAGCTTTGCTCTAAGGCAAGTGGCGTAGCCACAGAAATCGCCGCTTGAGACTCTTCTGAGTCCGAAAAAACCTCCGCCGGCCGCCTAACCTCTTGAGTCTGATTTTGCGGTTGTAGGTTATGTCCGACGTCTCGATCTGAAATAAGCCTATGAATCCGCTCCAGGATATCTCTAAGGCTTTCTCGAGATTCCGATCGGCGAGAGGAAACATCTCTTGGCGCAACTCTCCTATCCGAAGAGCGGATACGCGATGTTTCTCTCGAACGCGAACGAACACGCGATTTTCCTTTTCGAGAGTGGTATCTATGAGAAGATTTATCTTCTCTCGCATGCCTCACTGAAGAGCTCTTCTTGTGTTTCGGCATAGCTCACAGAACTAGCAAACCACAACTAAAAAACGGTACACTATAGAAGTTCCGGCACGAACGTGTTGTCTGGACTAACGAACAGAAAACAATGAAGACGCAGCGTGCTCACGTGACGCACGGCGGCGTAGGCGACGCTGGAACGCTTGCGCTGGCTTTTTTTTTCTTTGGCGGTTTTTTGAAAACTGTTGTCAGGACGTGAACAGGGGACTACTACATAGTGCTTCCATCCGGACGAGACATATTGGGCATAATTGGTATATACAATCGTATCGGCGTCACGTATCCGTGAGCCGATGGCGGAGCGATTCCTGTCGCGTATCCGCGAACGAAAGCCTGCCAGTAGCGCGATTCTTTAACTCGTTATTGGAGTTAATGACAGTTTTGTTATCGTTACGCAGCTTTTCTACGATATACAAAAGCTGCGCAACGATAACGAAACTGTCGTTAACTCCAATAACGAGTTACAGAATCCCAGTACAGGAGCAGTCTAGTTAAACAGTATCGGTGTCACGTATTTGTGCCCCAACGGCGGAGTGATTCCTGTCGCGTATCCGCGAGCAACAATCTGCCGGGAACAATGTCGACGTCACGTATCCGTAAGTCGACGGCGGAGTGACTTTTGTCGCGTATTCACGAGCAGAAATCCACCAGGAACCGGTGGTCGAGAAGATGGTGCGGTAATCTTCCTCGATTTCGGAGGTTCGGATCGTATTCTGATCTCTCGGAAGAGCGGATGATCGGAATCTGTCTTTCGAGAGAGTGGATCAGAATCTGTTCTCGATCAAGAATTCGCGGTGCTTTATATTTGCGAATCACGCTTGATTCGCTGTTTACCGCGGATGTTCGGTGGTCTCGTTGTTTCCGTTCTGGAGGACGCAGTGTCCTCTTGCGTTTCGCGGTCGCGTTGTTGTTATGCGGTTTTTAGTAACGCCATGCATTTTGGAGCGTTACATCCGTTTACTCTGACAAAGCGATAATCCTGTAGTGGTGCTATTGTAGCGTGTAAACGATTTCCGATTGATAATGAGTCAATTAGCAAATGAGCAAATAGTGAGAAGCAACCCGTCGAAAGGAATAACGCACACGTGCGACAGTCTGCCTTTAAGTTAATTAACATTCAGTAAAATATGTTTACACAATTACACAAGTTAATTAACATTCAGTAAAGTATTATTACAACATACAATGTTTATTACAATACAATTACAACATACAGTTCTCATAGGCTTGAAGTCAACCCTCGATACGGAACTATAGATCTAATATATTTAAGCCAGAACTCGACATGCGTTACACATTTCTGTCGATTTTTTATTTTGCTTCAGCACTATTCTTCTTATCTCTCATCGTACAGTGTACAAATTACGATATATTATGGGTGCATTCCGATATTCATTGCTAGTATTGAAAATTTATAATTCATGTTACATATATTATGAATTTTCATTACTAACAGTGAATATTGGAACGCAACCTATATTTGCAGTAGTTTTCTTATTGCAAATAATCTATTGGAAATAAATGCTTACAAGTCATACGTCCCTGAGTCTCGAGCGGCTCGAGGGTTGCGCGCGGGACGATAAAATAAGGGGAATAGCGCTAGACGGAGCAAGTTGAAAATTGGTCGAAATATGCAACACGTGTCGAGCTCGGACTCAAGTGATTTCAATTATGTGAGATTTCCCGGAAGCTTATACACTTTAACTAGCGGATTCCTAGTGGGTTTTTAGTGAAGAGCTCTATAGGCCAGAGAGAAGTCCGATCGAAAATGACTATTCGCCTTTTTGCAAAAAAAAAATTGTTCTGCCCAGTGATATTGATGCCGCCGACTGTTTCTGATTAGTTATATGTTAAAAACAAAAAATCGTTAAGAAACGAGGCAAAATGCATTTTGCGCATGTCTTGGCCACTACACATATAAACACAGATGTTCTTGTCTAGAAATGATTATTGTCATTCTGAGCAAATAGGTCCGAGTAGGTCAGAGACCGGTTTTATTGTTTCAGAATTATTCGCGTTGAAATGCACGACAAACATAGGTCGCGTACCGACATATCTGAAAATCGACACACATCACGCGATAACGTCTAGCACGACAAAGGACCCCGCACAAAACCTATGGAAAATGATTTTCGGTCAAATTGGCTGAAATTTCACTATGTTATAGTTTTCGCCATGCTGATAAAAAGTTATCATTGCACCAAGTTCCAAAAGTCAATATTTCCCAAGATATAAAGGATCAAAGTAGTAAAATATGGTCATCCGCAGTAGTAAGACGTATGTTATAAGTGATACATTGATATTTATTCACGAAATAAATAAAAATCGATTTTTACATATATATATGTAATAAATATTTAGTTCCGCAATATATATGTATATGTATGTACAGGGTGGGGCAAAAGTATCGGACCGATGAAATATCTCGAAAAGTATAAGTTTTACAAAAAACTGTTTCAAATCTTAAAAAGATCTATTGTATTTATTGATTTTAGCAGATTGATCTTGGGTGGCGTTGCAAAAGTAAAAAATCAGTTGTTTTCACGGCTACTCACAATCAGTTGTTTTCACGGCTACTCACAATCAGTTGTTTTCACAGCTACTCACAATCAGTTGTTTTCACGGTTACTCACAATCAATTGTTTTCACAGCTACTCAAAATCAGTTGCTTTCACAGCTACTCACAATCAGTTGTTTTCACGGCTATTCAAAATCAGTTGTTTTCACAGCTACTCACAATCAGTTGTTTTCACGGCTACT